ATTAATTTTTAAAAATTCTTCTAGTTTCATATTTAAAATATGGGAGAAGTTGATAAGAGATAACAATCAATGTAGCATTTTATTTCCAGAGTTGCTGTGGACTAATTACTTGTGTTGTTAATTAATCAACACATATTTATTAGATGCTTCTATGACTTCAGTACTGTAAGAACTTGTTGAGAATATAGATGAATTATGAAACTGATTTCTGATGTCAAGTCATATAAAATCTGATTAGATGAGGGAGATAATTATGACTTAAGTTTAAAAAATACAACATTTTAGGTGCTGAGTTATATGGGTCAGAGTTTTTTAAATATTAATTTAAGGCTAGTCAGATAGTTGAGGACCAAAATATCACTCAAAGCTTCATGGAAGAAGAAAGATTTAGATAGGGTTTGAAGAATGACTTGGGCCTTGAAAAGAATATTTTGAATAAAGGTTTTAGAAATTGTGAGGTTTGTTAGAATGAGATCCATTTACAGAAAAATTGAAAACCTTTTGGAGGTATTTAGAAATAGGGAGCTACATAAAAATTGAAAACCTTTTGGAGGTATTTAGAAATTGAGGAAATGCTAAGATGAAGGAAAGTGTTTTTAGTAAGATTTGCCTCCAAAAAGTGTGGGTTTAAAGAGAGAGAGACACTGAAATCTAAAAAATTCCAGATTCCAGCTGGAAAGCTTTTGTGATAATGTTTATTAAAATGGTTAAGATCTGAAACAGAGTACTGCTTGTAGGAATGGAAAGAGGAAAACCCACTGAATTTGGTCAACAGTTGGATTAAAGTGACATGATAGGTGAGTCCAAGATAACATTTTTAAGAATAGTGCTTTCGTATACAGTTTTTAGAAAGAGAGAAAGATAAGTCTAATTATGGAATTGTTTAGAGAACAGAAAATGTGAGAGAAATGGTCTTTAATATTTATTTATAAACATTAGAATATAGAAATTCTTTGGAGTTATGAGAATGAATGATAAAGAAACAAAGAAAGAACGGAGGACTGCAAGCTGAATGCCTCCTATTAAAGAGCCTAGAGAAAGAAGATGTGTGTACCAGTACTAGAAACTGAAAATGTATGGTTGCAAAGATCAAACACTGTGCATATGTAAATTTCTGTACATCAGTAGAAATGTTAGGACAATTTCTAATAACATTAAATAAATTATAAATGTATTATAAACAATTCTAATTGCTTCCAAACTACATATGTATCTTTGTTTTTCAGAGACGTGGTAATGAGGATGGAACTTTTTCTCAAGGGCTAGGAGAAATAGTTTAACTTTATTCAGTAAAATATAAATGTATTTCATTAAACATTTTGAATTAAAATAAAACATGAAAATGCCAGAAAAGTACCCAACAATACACAACAATATATAATGAAAATTTTCTCTCTGCCCTTCCAGAGGCAACCATTATTAATACAAAATAGTTGTCTCCCCCCAAAAATCTATGCTTCTCAATTAATAAGTTTCCTAAAGAGGGGAGAGAAAAAGAGGAAATTAGTAGTATAGAACCCCAGTATTCTTCCAACTAAAAAACAAAACAAACATACAAATAAGAACAATCGAAAAGTACTGAAACAATGTTGAAAAACAGCTCTAAGAGATGGGGAAGAAGAACGTAAAAGCCTCAATTTGAGAACAGTTTGGGTAGCAAACAATATGACTGCATACTGCACATAGATATGAACCCTGAGAAGCTCTGTTGCTTCTCAGGACTGGAAGGACTATGAAAGCCATCTATTCCAGTTTCCTACCTAAGACCTGAATACTCTGAGCACAATTCCTGCCAAGCGATTGTTGAATTTAGGATTAAATACCATTTAAACTGACCAGTAGAAACTGCTGGTTAATGAAAGCAGGATGGAAGTTAAGTCAGAAATCCTGGGCTAAAATTTCAGCTTCTATAACTTACTAGCTTTGTAAATTTGAGCCAAACTTGTAAACTTTTTGGACTTCAGTATTTTCAATGAAATGGAAAATACTAATACTTGTTCTGGCTATGGAGTATCAGGTATCAAGTATATAAAATGCATTTGAAAATACTTTTTCTTTAAATTGAGAATAATACTTTAACTGTAGCTTTAACTGCAAGTCATTTCTTATGTCATTACTCATGTTATTTTTTTCATAGCTCACATTAATTTCTGACTAGATCTTATTTGTTTACTTGTTCATTGTTTGTATACATCCCTAGATGTCATGAGAACAAGAACCTTGTTAATTTTATTCTTCGTATATCATTTCTTACAAAATTTCTAGAACATATTGAAGAAGGGAAGGGAGGGTGAAGGGAGAAAAGTAGAGCTGAAATGTAAGTACTTGAAAATCCTAGACTATCCTCAGATTCTCTGCTCTTTTGAAGTATATACCATTGGGCACATAGTAGACAATCTTTAAGAACATCTTAAACCACATTGAATTGAAAGTAAATTTTTTATTATGAGTGTTGCTTTCATAGGGAGGTGAATATGTATCACAGATCAGAGAAGCAGAACTACAATTTCCTTAGTAAATCTTTTAGATATAAAATAAATTATAAAATACAAGGTTATGAAAGAATAAGATAAATGTTTGTGAGATGACTATGATAGAGTCTTCTACTCTAACCACCTCATTTTTTTGAGATTTATTTAACGAATGCTATGCAACTTCTCATTGTTTTTTCTTGTTCCTTGTAATGGTCATAAACATTAAGTTTGAGAAACATAACATATATATATTTTTAAAGTGCTTTTGTTCTTACTTTGGCTCATATTTTGGTCTTCTCAAATTCTTTAAATAGCATTTGTACAGCGAATAAAGGAAATGTAAGTTTGGTAATTTATAAAATGCGAAATATGAAAACGTTTCCATTTTTCTTTTAACTTGCAGAATTTCAAGAACCCTATGCAGTCGTAGTACTTCTGGAAAAAGATCTCATTGTAGTTGATCTGACACAAAGCAAGTAAGTTATCCATGTTCAGAAAAAATGAACTATTTAAAAACTATTTTTAAACTCTATTCATTAATAAAGTTAAAACACTGGAGGAGATTATAAATAATTGCATTAGTATTCTTAGGTGGTAAATATTCTTTGTGTGGACTATTATTTTGCTAGAATTACAGAAATGTAATTTGGTTCAACAGTGAAAACTAAACCAGAAAAGTTTAAGGGACACAGAAAATCAAAGTGATTTTAAAGGAGGCACCTAAAGTTAGGAGACTCAGGACACACAAAATGGATCATATTTCTGTTGTTTACGTTAACAGAAGTAATTCTAATGAAAACTTATACAGTGTACTCGGTGGCTATCTGCTAGTTTATCGACTATAGGGAAATGGCACATAATAAAAATGTTATTGGATTACTGCAGCAGTCAGTACAAAAGAGCAGGATCTTGGGGCAGAGAAGATGGAGGCCTTCTTTCACACTGTTTTCTTTTTCATTATGTTATGGGCATTGGAAACAAATATAAAATATTGCTGCAAGAATGGTGTTTTTCCCTTCTTTCATAGAACAGCAAATCATACACTTGAAATTGATGAGTTGAATATTGTCTTCCTCTTAAACATTTCATTATATAATTAAACTGATTTTCCTTCATTTTATGTTCTAGACCTGATGATCTTCTGTTAGCCCCTTATATTTGCAGAACTTTTGTATATTCTCTCTTCTCTGCGTGGAATAATCTTACCTTTCTTTTTCTTCTTATTAACATCTCATCTATAAGAATTTCAACTCAGATATCATTTCTTCATTAAAAAAAAACATTATCTATATAATTTCATCAAATATCCTATTAAGGGCCCTCATCACTCTGATGTTCCTCTTTTCATAGCTTTTGACAAAGGTAAAATTTTTCATTTGTTATTGTTTTAAAGATTGTCTCTGTACTAGGCCGTAGGCCTCATGAAGAAGGAGGGGGCTTTGTCTCCACATGGAGTAGGTTCTCAATAAGTTTTTGTTGAATGAATTACAGTCTGAGTTCTTCTTTCCATGTAGTTCATAAATGTAAAAGCCAAAGTTCTTTTTTATGATAATCTGTAGCATATAATATTTTAATATTTTGAAAGGGTAATAGGATTTGAGCCATAATATAATCATAACTGAATTTTGCCTAGCTGCTACATTTATCAACATTAAACGATTAAATTTTGTGTACATATATGGATTTATGCCTCTTCCTCTACGTTCTAATATAGGTTTTATTAAAAACCTATACTTTTCTGATCTCATCGGTACTCAACTCTTCTTTCTGTGACATATTTGTTGGTTCCTCATATCTTGTTTATCTAACGTTCTCCACGGCCCACTATACTTTACCTTTTATACTCACTTTCCTCAGTATACACATTTATTCTTTTGTTTGAAACCTTTTTAGTGTGGTAAAATACACATAACAAAATTACCACTTTTATACATTTATTCTTATGCTTTTCATTACTTTATTTATGTGAATTGACATTTTGTTTCAAGTTTTTATCTGACATTTTACGTTCTTCAACACCATGTTTTAAAATCTTGCGACATTCCCATTTCATTGTCTATTACAAGTATTTTAACATGTCGAAAACTGAATATGTTCTCAAAAAATTTCCCTTCAAAATTACCTTTCAACCATGTCTAATGTTAACATTAAATTGTAGCTTTGGACTTCTTTTCTGATTCATTCATTCCTCCCTTCCTTTTTTCCCATTTAATCTTCTACTCGAAAGCAAACATTAGAGCTTACAAATTTTTCCTCTTCTTTTTGGTTTCTTGGATTTGTATCTTCATTTATATTTCCACAGCAACCAATTTACACCTTTACATCTAAATTCCTATAATACTTTTCTCCTTCTTCCTTCTTCCTTCCTTCTTCCTTCTTCCTTCCTTCTTTCTTCTTCCTTCTTTCTTCTTCTTCTTCTTCCTTCTTCTTCTTCCTCCTCCTCCTCCTCCTCCTCCTTCTTCTTCTCTTTCTTCTTTCTTTCTTTATTAAATATATTTTTCCATACTCTTTGCCAACATACTAAAATAACTTTCCTCAAACCTTTTTTCAAAATTGTTCACCTTGTTAGGAATCTATCGTTGTAATTTCTTGCTGTTATCAAATCTCAAGTTGTAGATCTGGTCTTTAAGGTGATTCATTTTTTTTTTCTTCTAATTCTTCAACCTCAGAAATGTCGATAATTTCTATATGAAACAAGGAACTTCCAATCCATCCAGTTTAACCTATGTGCCATTTTAAAAACACAACTTGCTCCTTTTGACCTGGTTTTGCATATACTACTTCTCTTATTTGGGATACATACCATTTGCAGAGTTCACATTGGAAAAAAGAGAACTCCTCCTCCCTCCCCACCCCCCACACCCCATACTCTCTGGAAGTTGGATAAAGTTTCTAATTAAGTTTCTAATAATAGGCAGAGAAAATTATTTTTTAATAGCCCCTCCTCCCAAAAAACACATTGTATCAGAAGTAACATGATCAGATGCAGCATAGAATAATACTCAATTCCTTCTACTACAGTGCCTGATACATCTGGTACATAAGAAGTGCACCATATATTATGGCTATAAGAATTCCTAATTTGGTTCTGTACTGATATCCATTTTTAAAATTATAATATGCATAAGGATATGAAATTTACTGCATTCTCACTATGTTCTCTAGTTTACATAGGAAATTATCTTAAGCATACATAATCATGCACATCTTTCAATTACTCCTGCAAAAAATAAAACCAAAACACTCTCTTATATATTACCTCCCTTGGAAAAAACATGTCAAATTTACTAAAATATTTTAATACTTGCAAGTATATTATATAAACATTTAGATAAAATTCTACATTGATAAACTGCCTAATTGATATCTTTTAATATATTGACTGATAAGTCAATTTACTGCATAATATTTTCAGTTTAACATAGTTCATTCTATCCATATTAGCAAAGTGATGTCACTGTGTAATTTTTGAATTACAGGAAAGAAAATTAATTTATTCAAGTAAAATTCTACCAGTATTCATTATACATTTTATAGATAAATATTTTAAAAAGAGCATTCTTGTTCATGTGATTCTTGTTTTATAATGCTTAAAACACAGTTGAGGGAAATGTATAATTAATATTTAGAAGATTTTAGGGTTTGTTTTATAAAAGTTATTTTTTATCATTGCAAAATGATACTAATATATTGTCTTAATCTATTAGTTTTCCAATCTTTGAAAATCCATATCCCATGGACATTCATGAATCACCAGTTACATGCACAGCCTACTTTGCTGATTGCCCACCAGATTTGATTCTAGTACTCTACTCTATAGGAGTCAAGCATAAAAAACAAGGCTACAGTAATAAGGTAAAAGTAACAATTAAAAATATGTTATCTTGTTTTCATATTCATATCATGCAATCATACTTTTTCCTGTTATTTTATTTTCTTACTTTCCATATAAGAAGACTAGGAATAAATTCCTTTGAAGTCATAATAAGCTGGAATCAATAAAAGACATAACCTCTGAAATTCAGATTTTCTGAATACTTGAATAGCTTTAAGCCTACAGGAATATAAATTACTTATATATTAAGTATATAATTATATGCTAAGATATACTTATCTATCATGTATATTTATATACTAAATATTTTAAACTAACATATGTTTAAATCATAAGATGTAACTTTTCATTATTTTAGATAAAGGGTTGTGTTTTAAGAAATTCAAGAGTCAACTTTTTCTAGTTAACTTTTCTTAACAATCCATGGTTAACTAGACATAATTATCAAAAGTCACTTAAATAACTTTCTAGAATTCCATTTTGTTATATTTAACTATAGGATTCAAATACTTACAATTGTAATCAATTACCTGTTGTATATTTTATCATTTGTACAGGACTATTGGATAGATCACTCCAGGGCAGCACGATTTACATAGTATTCTGTGTTAAATGACACCACAGTAGTTGGGTGGTCCACAGATTATGTGGCAAATGTAGCAACACAGTATTTGTATGATTAAAAATTATTTCTTTGATTTTTTTATATGAATGGTAATATTTATTAAAATCAATATTTTAAAAAATAATGTAATTACGCATTTGGAATTGTTCAATGAAAGAATAGCTACATCATTTTCCATTACTTTACAGTTATTGCTTTTTAAGAGAAACTAAACATTATTTTAAAATATTTTTGGTTTAAATTTTTAACCTATTCAAATTTAAAAATAAAACTTATAAATTCTTCCTGGATAATCTATTTAGGAGTGGCCAATCAGTGGAGGAGCTTGGAACCTCGGAACACAAACATATCCAGAAATTATTATTACCGGGTAGGTGGAATATGATTTGTGAGTTTATCAATTCATCATCAAAAATATTTTATTGAATTTTTACTTTCCCATAATTGTGCTGTAGGTAGACTGACAATTTAAGTAAAAGTAAAAATATAAGACACGGCTTCTATTCAAAGATTATAACTTTGCTGGAAGAATAAAACTACTGAAAACATAGACATAACAAAAATAATTAAGCATAGATTATAAGAGCAGAAGAAAGTAAAAGGAAGAAAAATCATGACACTAATCAAGGAAGAATTCCTGTGGAAACTGTAGATTATTAGCCTTAGAAAGGCTCTTACCAACATCTCTTAAATTCTGCTGTATTTCTATTTTATTTCCTTATCAGGTGGTTATTTGAAGTATGTTTCAAAACTTATAGCACCAGGAATGTTAGTACTTCCTGTAGCAACTCATTTCATGCTCTAATATTAGGAATGAAAATAGAGACATAGTAACAGATAAAGACATAGCAACAGATGAGAATTAAAAAATAATAAGAGGTTCTGCTTATTGGACAATATTGTAGATGTAGTTTTTCCTATTCTTCCCACTGAGTACAACTAAAATCCCTAGATATTACATATTAAACAAACACAAGATGACTGGAAAAGCTGGAGAGAATTCAGACTTGCAAGGCCCCCAAGATCCAAGGAATGACATGATGCTGAGTTTCCTGGGTTTTCTTTTTGCCTTGAATATCCCAGGATTGGAGCTGAAGAAGCTGGCAATGCTGGATCTACCAGTGGGCACAGACCCACACATACAGACACAGACACACACACATACACCCCAAAAGCTCTCTCTAGTCAAAGGATGAGAGAAAGGGCAGCCTATTGAGACAGAAAACTTTTAGAAGATAATCTTTCTACAGTAGCTAACCACCACAGGGAAAAACAAACAAACAAACAAACTATGGCCTCATCCCCACCCACTCAAGCAAAGATTGAGCGGGAAGCCTAGACTTTCACTCTCATCAGGGTATAACAAGGTGCCTCGACTTCCCCCACGAGAGAGTATCATTCTCCAACATTGACCAAAGTCTGAATGGGAAGCCAGAACTTTCAACGGTACTGGGTGTCATGAAACCCATCACCTGTGGTGTTGGAGGAGATATGTGAGTAGCTAGAATTCCCACCACTGCCAAGCAGTAACAGTGAGCTACACATTCTCTATACTTTTTGTGTCAATGGAAGTCCAGTGAGGAAGTCCAAAAACTGAGTGAACCATAAGAAATCCACCCAAGACACATCATAGTCAAACCTCTGAACACTAAACACCAAAGAAAAAAATATGAAAACAGCAAAAGAAAAATTACACCATATCTATAGAGTAAAACCAATGTGAATGACAGTGGATTTCGCATCAGAAACCATGGAGGCTAGAAGGAAATCTGAATCTTTTTCAAGTGTTGCTAGAAAGTAACTGGCAACCTAGAATCCTATATCCTGGAAAAATATCTCTCAGAGATTTAAGGAGGAATTAGTACATTCTCAAAAGAAAGAAACAAAGAATTTGTCAATATCAGACCTACCCTAAAAGAGTGGCTAGAGGAAGTTCTCCAAACAGAAAGCAAATGATAAAAGAAGGAGCCTTGAAATATCAGAAACGAAGGAAGAACACAGTAAGCAAAAATATGGGTAAATACAATAAGCTTTTCTTCCTTGAGTTTTTAAAATTATATTTGATGGTTGAAGAGAATATAGGTACATTGTCTGATGTGGTTCTACACATATAGAGAGGAATATTTAAGACAATTATAAGTGGGAGAAGGTAAAGCGATGTAAAGGTAAACAAGGTTTTTATATTTCTCTTGAAATGATAGTATTATGACACCAGTAGACTGACAATTTATGTAATACTTAAAGCTACCGTTAAAAAACCCTATGCAAACACACACATTCAAAAATATTATTGACACATCAAAACAACACATAAAATAATTCAAGTAAGCCATAGGAAGGCAGAAAAAGATAGCAAACAAACAAACAAACAAACAAACAAACAAAAAACAGGAAAAGACAGAAAAGAAAAAAAAATGAAACTTAAGCCCTAATATATCCATCATTACATCGCATATAAATACTTTAAATACACCAGTTCAAATTCACAGATTGGCATAGTGAATTAAAAACATGACCTGACTCAATGCTACTTACAATACACTCACTTCAAATATAACAGTATATACTCAGGTTGAAAGAAAAAGGATGGAAAAATACTCTCTAAAAGAATTGATGGAGAGTAATATCAGCAAGATGTCAGAATCGGTAACCCCAGACCTCATTCCCCCACAGAGACACTGATGTAACAACAATATATGGTCCAAAAAGCCTTTATGAAAATGCCTGAAGCCAGTAAAAAGTTGTAATATCCAGGCAAGTGCAAAGCCAAGAACAGTCAATTTGAAATGGGCAAAAATAGCTAATTCATTTTATTTAATTTCAACAATTTTAGTTCCTCCCCCAAACTGGCACAGCTTATGTTCAGGAGGAAAGCCCGACTTGCATCTTCTCTCATGAAAAGGAAAGAGAGGAGTAAAATATACATTCTATGCTTTTCAGGTGACTTCCCAAGAGGTTAGTTTCTGTCGCACCTGAATCAGAGTACTGATGCAACCTGGATGTCTGTGGGTTGCAGAGAACAAAATAGAGCTCATTGGTTGCTGAAGTGCCAAAAAAAAAAAAAAAAGTACTGAAGTAAGACAATAGAGGGAGCATGAGACTACAAGTTTCTGAAAAAAGAAACCAGCAAACCTCTCTAATTGGAGAATTGCACACACAAGTCCAGAGAAAAGTCATCCCCATTAAAGTTTTGAGAGGCCTTCAGTATCTCTATCTAGGCGGATTGGTAAAAGTTTTCCCCTGTAGAAAGCTAGTTCATAAGGAGTGGCTGTATTTTCAAATGCCAAATTCGCAATAAGAAATAAGGCGGAGAAAAAAATCAAGGAAACATGGCCCAATCAAATGGACAAAATAAATCTCTAGAAACTAACCATCAAAGAATGGAGATCTGTGAATTATTCAAACAATTCAAAATAATTGTCTTTAAAAAATTCAATATACTACAAGAGAACACAGATAGACAACTAAATGAAATTAAAATAAATAAGACATCAGTGAAATGAGAACATGAACAAAGATATAGAAACTCTCAAAGCACCAAAAAAATATTCTGGAGCAGAAGAATACAATAACTGAAAAAATTTACTAGAAAGGATCAACAGCAGACTTAATCAGAAGAAAGAATTGATGAACTAGAAGATAATATGAAAGTTGAGAGTCAGGGGGAAAAATGAAGAAAAGTGAAGAATGCCTAAAGGACTTGTGGGATACCATCAAGTGCACTAATATAAGCATTATGAAAGTCTTAAAAGGACAAGAGAGAGAATGGGGCAGAGAACTTATTTTAAGAAATAATGACTGAAACTTCTCAAATCTGAGGTAGTAAATGGACATCCAAATTGAAGAAGCACAAAATGCTTCAGTGAGGATGAACCAAGAAGACCACACTGAGACATATTATAATAAAAATACCAAAGACAAAGAATCCTAGAAGCAGCAACAGAAAGGCCACTTCATGTATGTGGGAACTTTCATAAGATTATTAGTGGATTTCTTGGCAGAAACATTATAGGCTAGAAGGGAGTAGAATGGTATCATCAAAGTGCATAAAGAAAAAAACAAAAAAAGCCAGCCATGAATACCGTATCTGGAAAACTACTTCAAAATGAAGGAAAAATAAAGACCTTCTAAGATAAAAACTGAGACTTTATCACCACTACACCTGCCTAGTAAGAATTGCTAAAGGGAGTCTTTAAGAGCGCAATAAGTGGACACTAGGCAATGAAACAAAAGCATTTGAAAATATAAAGCTCTCTGAGAAAGGAAAATGTATAGACAAAACAGAACCCTGTAACACTGTAGTAGTAGTAGATAATCACTTTTAGTGTAGACTTTAAAAGACAAAAGCATTTTGAAAACTAACTATAAAACTATGTTAATGGGTACAAAATATAAAAAAGTATAATTTGTAACATCAATAACAAAGTGAGGAGGGAGATGTAAAGGAGCAGGGTTTTTGTATGCAATTGAAGTTGTTTTTTTAATCAGTTTAAAATAGATTGGTTTAACTATAAGATATTTTATGTAATACACATAATTGTGTAATCACAAAGGAAATATATATAGAATATGTACAAAAGAAAATCAAAGCATGTCACTACAAAAAGAAAATCAATGAAACACAAAAGAAGGCAGCAAGAGAAGAAATGAAGGACAAAATACAAGATTGACAAAAACAATTCAAAAAATGGTAATAGTAAGTCCTTTTGTATCTGTTATTTCTTTAAATATAAGCAGATTAAACTCTCAAATCAAAAGACAGAGTGGTTTAATGGATAACAAACAAGATCCAACTATATGCTATCCGCATGTCACTTTAGATATAAGGACACACATAGGCTTAGCATGCAAGAATGGATAAAGATATTCCATGCAAAAGCTAACCAAAAGAGAGCAGGTGTGACCATACTTATATTGAACAAAATACACTTTAAACCAAAAATTGGCGTAAGAGACAAAGACATTATATAATGATAAAATAGTGAATTTACCAGAAAGAAATAAGAATTATAAATATATATGCACCTTACAAGAGAACACTCAAATATATAAAGCAGATATAGACAGAATTAAAGAGACAAATAGCCAATACACAAAAATACAAGATTTAATTAATATCATACTTTCAATAATGAATAGATTGCCCAGACAGAACAATAAGAGAGAACTTGAACAATTCTGAAGACCAAGTGTACCTGATAGATATGTACAGAACAGAACACAACAACAGCAGAATATACATTCTTCTTAAGTATACCCCCCCCCAAAAAAAATCTCTAGGCTAGATTACATGTTTGACCACAAAACAAATCCTAACAAATTTAAGGAAATCAATATCATACCAAATATCTTGTAGAATTACAGTGGGGG